GGGGGGGCGCCAGGCCCCCGCCCGCCGCCAGCTTATACTATACGTCGAAAGGATGACCCAACGAGTCATGCGTGGTCTGGTACATTCTAAATAATTCGTTTTATATATGCAGAAATTCTCAGCTCTCCTAGTCCATTTGCCTAGATGTGTATAGAATCAGGGAGCTTCCTCTTGGAAAGATGCTGTTTAACAGACAATCAGAAAACTATGATCCTCTTTTAGGGATGATCAGATCTGACTCCCAGATTTGAATTTGGGGGATATAAAATTCTTTCTTTCCACACACAGGAAATATGTGGATTTTGGCAAGTTTTTATAAAAACAAGCAAACCCAACTTAACTCACCCATTTGGTCTTCCCAATGTCAGCAGCTATATCTAACATGCCAAAGACCAGGATAATTTTCCTGCCTATAATTTATTAGCATGGCTTGCCTATCCAATTTAGCTTTAAATGGTAAGCAACCATGTTGAATGAGAAATAAGGGAATTCCTTAAGAAGCCCTTAAGAAAGAAAGAGAAGTAGTAAAAAGGTGAGATATTAGGATATTACACAGTTCCTTAACTGGTATTGTTTAAACTTTTACAACCGAGTAAGTGTTACAAAACACCCAGGCTGATTGTGATTTGTCATGAAGTAATAAGTCAAAGTGAGAGAAGGCCAGCAAAGAAAAAATAAAAAAGTGAAAGGCTAAATTGCTTATCTTAAAGAGAGAGGTGCCAAAACCGAGATGCAGCCCCCAGCCAGACCGCTAAAGGATATCCTACGTTGGCACCTAAGTGACCATTGGCCCTACGCATCACCTTTGTTCCCCCAAACACTCCCAAGAAAATGCCATCCCTGGTATCACATTACTTGAGCTCTCACAGCTGGTGACCAGGGCAACCAAAGCTATGAGTAAAGGGGGTCGATCAACTGTTTCTTGATAGCTGGGGACACAGTGTAACGATTTAGGGAGAAGACTGCATTTTCCAACACAACCACTATAATCAGCTGGACCTTTGTTAGGCCACTTAGCTTCATCACAGCAATAACTTTTCTAAGCTATCCCTCAGCTTTTGCAGCAGGTGAGCTTTTTGGACCTTTTTTCCTGTCCCCTACAGAGAAATCTATCTAATTTTTTAAAGATTTGGATCATGTGCAGAAAACTCTCACTGCCTATATATCAACACACTTTGGTCTATTCAGAAGAGAAGTGATTTTTGCAATTTTTGCTATCTTCAACAATACCTGCCATATGAATATAAATGTTTGGGTAACAGCTTATAATTACAATGATTATATAGAATATAATTAATTATATTTTCTTTGTATTCTCCCACTTTCAGTTTAATAAAATCTTAATATGGATTTGACGTTTTGGGCTGTTGTCCTATAGAGTTGTCTTCCTGCTGTTACTTACTTAATTACATCAATTGTTACTCTCTTTGACTTAGAAAAGGTAGAGGGGTATGGAAGAGGGAGGCTGAAACTTATTCATTGACATCTTTGGGTAAGCCAAGTTTCTTGCATTTTTCTTACTCAGAAATAAGACTGTGGAGGAATAATGGCAGCCAATCTAAAAATAAAATTTAAAAATGACATAAAGAAATGGAAAGAGGGACAGATTTCCAAGAATGAGGATAATCAACTGCCCTTAATTGCACAAAAGATGTTAGAAAGACTAAAGTCAGAAGGAGTTCAATGAAGCACAATGAAAAATAAATTTACTTTAGATGTGTTCAAAGTAAAAAAAAATTGATGATAAAATGCTCAATAATAATGGTGACATGTTGACAGGTGAGAAGGAGAAAGTAGAATTACTGAAGTCCTACCTGGCTTGGACTAACTTTTAGAAGAGAATCTATCTGCCATCAGACAAATGTATTTATCACACCAAAGAAGAATTGCATCTGGTCAACAAATATCTATGGACTCTGAAAGAATTCAGCTGTTCAGGTCCAAAAGAATGGTGTCCTAGGCATCAAAGGAGTTTGCTGTTCAAGGAGTCCACAGAATCTCCGTTATATGTGAGAAAGAATGGCTGCAGGAGAGCGAATATTGCACTTATCTTCAAGAGAAGGCAGTCTGACATTGATACTTGGGAAAATCTATAACAAAGTTTAGCATTTGGTCTGTAAGCACTTGAAACCAATGCACTGATTAGAAGTCAGCAAGAATTTGTCAAGAATAAGTCCTGCCACGCTATCTATTTTTAAATAAACTTTAGATCATAGAAATGCTATAGATATCTTGACTTCAGCAAAACATTTGATAAAGTTTTCAATGTAAACTATTTTAGCAGATGGTGATCTGTGTTGGAAGGCCTTCTGCTAGATGCACCCACAAGTGTCAAAAGAATCTAACTCAAAGATTAATCAGGAATCACTGCTGACCAAACTGAAGATGAAGTACAGGGCCACAGATGATACAAAACTAACCTTGCTTAGTTCGGGGCTCTTTGGCATTTTGGTGGCCAGGTGCCCAGTGATCATGGTAGCTGTGCATTCAATAAAAGACGCTTTGTTTCACTTATCTCCAATCGCTTTGGTTCCTTATCCTAAGTGGGCATGTTTCCCACAACATAGTCATCAGGTTATGATGACTCAGTAGAACATTTTGGGTGAATGTAGTCCTCATTTATACCAGGAGTCACCAGGAACAGAACCCAAAGCAGTGAAATCAAACTAATTCTGTATCTGGACACTTCCCTTATTTGCAAAATACGTTGTCTTGTGTTCCTGTCCCCCAGAATCACTTACAAACATTCAGGTAGATTCCAATTTGGATCTGTTGCTTTGGAGGAACCCAGCTTCAATGCGTGGTATCGCCTGAATCTAATAAATTGAGTTAAAGTGCTATGCACCTATCCTTGAGTCAGCACAAAATAATGCAGGCCTAAAACGTGTAGTCCCTGTTGCCAGTTTATCTCCAAGGTAACGGGTGAAGTGAAACAGACGTTATGCACCTTGTGGCTGTTGTCGGAAGGGGTCAGACTAAGAGGAGAGGAAAAGACTAGTTTTATACCAGTGCAGCTAGTGATGACTTAAGGCTGGGGGTCTTACTTGTGGCTGAGGATAAGGTGACAGTAACCTCATGGGGACAATGGGGAAATTGGTGTTGACAGCGTATGACTGTGCCATGGTTAAGGGCATCAGTGTGATTTAAATTCAGCCAGTCTGATGTATATTGTTTCCTCTCGTCAATAAGGATGCAGCCAGACATATTTTCTCACTTCTAGCACAGCATGGAAACAACAATAAGGAACTCCTGATTAGAACTGTGATGGGGAAGAGCATGCGCTAAGATGCCTCTCTGGGCATGCTCTTTCTTCAGCACAACTGCCTTCCAACAGCCCACCAGTCAGCTATCAGCAACCTACGGGGATCCGAGCATGGGAAGGGAGCCGTCCCAAAGCATTCTGTCCCCAGACTCCTATCAAACAGCTGGTTAATGGCTGCCCAAGTTCAGTCATGCTGAGGACAGGAAACCTGCAGAACAGGAAATGCCCTTTCTTGAGAAGAGGCAACATGTCTTGGGCTACTTCTTTTCACACAGTTGGGGCAATCGTGAAAGAATGGCAGGGGGAAGATACTGGGGTGAGAAATGAAAGCCCACAAGTGGGCTAAAAATTTTGGTTATAATATACAGATGGAACAATGGGAAAATATGTGGCTGAAATAAGTGAAGTTTACATAATGTTATAGGAGAATTTTTATAAAATGATGTACCTTTGGTATACAGTACTGTGCAAAAGTTTTAGGCAGGTGTGAAAAAATTCTGTAAAATAAGAATGCTTTCAAAAATATATATTGTAATTGGTTATCAATTTACAAAATACAAAGTGAGCGAACAGAAGAAAAACCCAAATCAAGTCAATATTTGGTGTGACCACCCTTTGCCTTCAAAACAGAATCA